ATTTGAAATGTGAAATAATTGGTTAGAAAAGAGTGACTTTTCTTATTCCTTATTCTGCCTCAGTATTACAGTAGTTTGGCATAACCCTTTGTTTTGTATACATTTTAATGTTTTTCTTTATGTAGGGGTTTTTCCCCCCTGCTTTTTCCCCTCTAGAAGCAAATTCCCCCTGTGTACAATCACAAATACTTTACTCCTCTGTTTTATACCATTTTTAATTTTTAAGACATTACTCATTTACCTGCTTAGCCTAAGCATATTTTAAATTCCATCAGTAGACCTTTTGTCTTGCAGCTTGTTGATAAATACTATAGTAAAAGCTGTGTTACCAGGCATGAGTGGGGAACAGAGGGTGCTGGGTATCTAAACATTGTGGTTATCCGAGGCAGAGGTTTTCAACCTTTTTGAAAACCCCTGCGGAGCAGAGGAGGGGTGGTGGCGGCCGCACGTGGAGTGGCGGCAGCACAGGGTGGTGGGTGGCAGCAGGTGCCGCGCGCGCGCTTTTCCCCGCGCTGCGTTCAACCGGGCGGCTGGAAATTCCGGTTAATGGAATATTCTGGCTAGTAGAATGCTTTTACTTTTACTGTAATGACATTTAAAGCCTGTTCCAAATAACCAGCAAAATGTAACTTGGTGTAGTGTAGTGTGCCTTTGTTTACAGTCTGTTAAACCATCCCAGAGTGACTAAAAACTGTGGAATGTTCTGGAATAAAACTATCAAGCTGTTGGAAGAGCTTTTAAATAGATTTTGACTGTCACTCACCCTTTTGGCAAGTGAGTCTTTCTATGTAAAATCACTGTTGAGACTGACGTGTCGATCTGCTCAATTTAGCATCCTGCAAATTTAAGCGCATCCAACCCAATTGGAATCTGTGGGACTTGATTTTCAAATGTATGATCAGAATTTGCTTGAAGCTGGACTTTTTTATGCATAAGATATTAAAAAAGAAGATAAACATGGGAGAGAAGCTTTTGTGAGTCTCAGAATGCTTAATATGCCAAGAGATTTTACCCTTGGTGTTAACTTTTAATAACTTTGGAACTCAATTTATTTTATCCAGAGCAATTTACGTTTTTATTTTTGCTCTGTTTCCCAGTTTCATAAAGAGATGTTAAGGGGCTGAATTTCTACAGCTATTTTGCTAACATGTCAATAGTGCAGAGCTGCTATGGAGAACTCAAAGACTGCCTTTCAAATGTTACTCATAGTCTGCAAGCAATTGACCCTTTAGAATTGGAACCCTTTGGAAGTACGGTAGTGAGTAATGACATAGCAAGCTACCATATAGTAAAGAAAAACAACCTGTGTTTTTCCTGCGTTTCAAATTTTAGCTTAACTATAGTTCCTGAGAAGCAGTTTCTATTGCAGAGTCTTCATTTCTGTATGAAAAAAAATGTATTTGAATGATACCATAGCTAAAATTCTGAACTACTAATCTGCTTCCTCAGTGAATGAGACAACCTGCCTTTGAGTCTTGCTATCATTATTTAAGTAGTAAGCAGAGTATTTTCTACAGTGTAACTGTTGCTAGTTTCTCAATTGGAACAATAGGAATGACATGGGATCCTGGTTTTCTCCAATTTAAAAAAAAACAAACCAAACCCAATTTTTGAATTAAAAAAGTAACCCCAAATCCACATTTTTCTGTGTTTAAAATGAAACACCACTAATATAGATAAATATATCGATCTCTATATCTGTATGGAGCTATAGATATAGATCGATACAGATATAAATCTATAGCTATATATTAGTGTGGTGTGTTAATTGCAGAAAAATGTGGATTTTTGGGTTACTTTTTTTTAATGAAAAAAATTGGTTTGTTTTTTTTTTTTTTATCAGAGAAAACCAGGATCCCTGGGTGGAAACAGATGACACTTTTCCTTGCCTTTAATGCTGCCTTAAAAAGGTGAAGCAAGCAGATGTCCATACCCTTTTTCATGCTACATCTCCTTAAGCAAGGAACCCCAGGCTTTCCTGCTTCTAGAGATGGGCCCCTTAGAGGTGCTGGGAAGAGCAGGAGCCAGGGAATTCCTGGCGCCTTGCGCTTCCGTGCTTGGACCTGTCCCACAGTTATCCTTATTTTTTTTTTTTTTTGAGGGACCCAGCCTGGATCCTGGCAAGAAGGCATAAGGAGGGGAGGAAGGTGGGGAATCCCTTGGCAAAGGGAACATGCCACTCTTTGTCTTGCATTGGGCCCAGTATGGGACATGGGGAGGTCTGTGTTTCATCCAGTGAAACAGATCAACTGTGGCAGGACATGTCCCACTGATGCTGATCCATTGTAACTTGGCAACTTCTGTTCGTAGCTTATGTTTTTAGCATTCAAGAGTAATTTTTAGTTACCTATATTTTAGGATCTCCTTTGTGCTTGGTTTAAACTTTTACAGCATGATTGTCATTCCATGGCTTACAGGACACTGCTTTGATTCCTGAGTTGCCCCCGTCCTGACTCCCATGGAAGTTAGGAGCCTGACTTTACTGCTTTCAAATGCTACCATGAGATGGATCGAGAGAGGGATTAGGCAGGCCTGGCTCCTGATTTTTACTCCCTATATCCTGTCTCTGTGATTCTCAACCAGGGTGCATTGAGATCCTTTCAAGGGTACTGTGGGGTGCCATGCAGTGTTGGCACTGTTAGGTGCGCAAACCTGATTCACAAGATTAACCCAGAGATTTCAAATAGGAATCCATGGTATTATAAACAATTTGACCTGTTGTGATGTATCTGAGTTCTTTGCAACAGAAGAATTGCTCTGTTATTTTTCTGTAGTCAAAAATTGAGTGAAAACAAAGAGCTGACATTTTCCAAGGAGTGCCTTGAGTCTAAAAGGTTGAGAACTGCTGTCCTTTCTACTAGATTCCTTGTGTAATGGCTGTCCCTATAATTAATTCTGGAATTTGGAATAACAGACAAGTTTCAATATTCTTTATTGGAACCAGGATGAACTAATTTAAATAACCAGTTTTAATCATGATTTAAATGAGCAAGCAGGAAACCTTTAATTTAAATAATCAATTTTAATTCTGCTTGCATTTTTTATTTTTATTTTCCTAAAGAAAGCATAATTTTCATTGGTTGATAATCAAAAAAGCACATTGATTTGCAGCTAAATATAACCTTTATACTAAATTGATACTATGCTTTTGCTAACCAGGATGATATGAGCATATCTCTACACATTTATTTATGTGGGTATACAGCTGAACATTTATTCAGATTCTTAATTTTAACATTCCTATGAGATTAGAAAATGGCAATATAATTTGTGTCCAGCTGTATTTGGATGGAAATTACAATTCAGTTAAAAAGAACAAAATACCATTTTCATGTTTTTAAGCTAATTCAAATTACCTCAACGTGCCCAGAAGGAAAAATGTCAGTTTATCAAAACGTGTTTTGCCTTTAAAATTAACTGATTTATTAAACAAACAAAAAAAAGTGTTTGCACTTAGTGCGCTGACCTGATCATTTCTTGCTCACAATATCCTTTAAGATTTTGTTAGTAGTAAATCTCATTCTTGCATACCTCATTTTCATTCATAAGCAAGTGGAAAATAAGTTTTTCTGCTTTTCAGCTCTAAATAAGTTCCTCAACTTTGAATGAACTAATCACTGAATTAAAAAACTAAAATGGAAAAAAAAAATTCTTTGCCCCTGCAAAATAGGCTACTGCTATGAAAACCTGGCTTTTCCTTTCAACAGACTAGGTTATTTCAAATTTTGGTAGCAAATGTATACTGCTTCAATATTGTTTTTATTTAATTTTAAGTGATTCTTGTAATATACTAGACTGAAATCTTAATATAGGCTGTTATCATTTAAAATTTAATTTTGAAATAAAAATAATGATTTAAAATAAAAATCCTGATAATTTTTTTTTTAAATAATTTTTAAAAGAAAATGCATTTTAAATGCAACCTCCTTGATGTCACCCTATGTGAGCAGTAGTGCAGTGTTTTCCAGACTCTTGGTTCTGAATAGCTGGTGATCCGTGGATTGGTTGTGGGGGGGTCTGGTAAGAACTAGTTGCCCACATTTTTCACTTCTTTCTATTTGTTGTTATTAAGTATTGAAGATGCTTAAAAACACATACCAAAGTGTCATATTACTTTCTTTGTAACCAAATGTTGTATTTGCCTCAGGTGGTATCATGCATTCATTAAGAGGAGGTAATTTGGTCAGGATAGTTATTGTGATTGGAAGAAGAAGTGGTAGTCTTGACTATCTGCATGGTGAAGAAATTTGCAGATTTTTGAAATAGTGTTCTCCTGTAATCTTTATTCAGTGTGCATTGTAGGCATGGCAGGAAAAATGTATAAAATCAGTTAGGATGAGGATAAATGTGTATACTGGTACTTTAATGTTTAATATTATGGTTTAATAAAACACGACTTCTGATAATAAATGAAATGCAAATGATGTTATATTTGCTTATGTTTCTGACTTTACATCCTGTTGCATATGTTTGAAAAAAGTAATATTAGACTAATGACCTCCTCCATCTTCTACCCCACTTAGCTGTTTTCACTTGCGAAATATAGTGGAAATGGCATATAATGATATGGAAGCACTATATTTGGCAATAGTTAGATGAATATAGGTGTCAGCTGCATCCTGGTCACAGTTACTATTAATTATGATAAAAGCTTGTTTCAGCTGCAGACTGGTACATCTATATATGCTGATTTTTAAATGCTCTTATTTTGTTATTTATCTTAATGCCACGGGCATGCTTTTAGAACTTAAAATCTAAATTTAGGTGAGAACTGAGCAGCAGCTGGAGGAAAGGACTTGTAAAACAATTTGGCTACATAATGATTGAAGGGTTATATTTTCATTGAACAGGGATGCCAAACAATCATTTTAATGTCTGCATTGTCGTTAAACGTAACACATACAGTCAGACTAAGGGAAAAAGTAAGTTGAACAAAGTAGAATACAGGATGATTAACACATTTTCTTTGAGCAGGTGTTAATTGGTACTTTTTCTTTCAGCAAATCTTCCAGTACCAACTATTGCTGCACTAGATGGGATTGCATTAGGTGGTGGCCTAGAACTGGCTTTAGCCTGTGACATAAGAGTAGCAGGTAAGGCTGAATCCCATTAAAATGAACACAAGATTATTAACATTACAGTAGCCTTGACTAATCCTTGCCTTGATTTTATATTCAGACATTCCTTATGCTCAATTATTTATATGTGATTTAGCAGAAACTTGAGTGAAATAATAATTGCTGATGTTTAATTTCGTACCATTTACTATTGATAGCATGGGTGCTTTTGTTGCCTGTTTTAATTTATTCTTACAATCTTCACTTTATCACTAGCAGTGATCCCAGAAGGGTAGGGCAGAGACTGAGAAAATTTTCATAATTAAAATTGTCCTGTCATCAAAATTTGAAGTTTTTTATTTCCCATATTGGTTGCTATACAAACAGGTTGCAGGAAATAGGCCAAACTTGTTTGTGAATGTATTATTAAACAAGCAATTAAGCTGTTATAAAACAAAAGCGACAGCAGCACATGAAGAGGGGAACCTTGACCTATCCAGCTGTCAGAACTGTAAAAGCATTTGTTGGAAAGTAAATGGAAACTCGGTCTTGAGCAGTTGCCAGTAACTCGGAAAATATTAGGTTGTTTGACCCTGAGAGAGTATTCAGTCAGCCAAAGAAGTCATAATCATCAGAGACAGATTTTATCCCCATTTCAAGTTGTTAAATAATATCTTTTCCTCTTTCTTTTTAATTATTCCAATTCTGCAAATAATTATTTGCATTATTGGGTCTAATAACTTACGTGCATGTGCAATTTTCCTATGTGAAAATTAATGCAGTACAGAGCTTGTTGTGACAATAATAGCTAGGTCTTTTAATAAGTGTAGATCAATTTGGTCCGTTTGTTTTTTCATAGTCAAATGTCTTTAAGTGATTATTTGTTTGAAAATTGTATTTAATAAATTAGCAGGCTCTTAATCACTTTTCATTGTATACACTTCTTAAAATTAATATAATATCAAGAACTGATTATATTTTATGCTCTCTTTTAGCTTCTTCTGCTAAAATGGGTCTTGTTGAAACAAAGTTAGCAATCATTCCAGGTGCAGGTATGGTTTTGCTTCTTATACACTACTGTAGATGAGCCAGCCACTAACAAGTACCTTGGTGTCTATAATATTGCCGTATTGTTTAGTTTTCTAGTAACTTTATTTTTTTCATTTAAGATTATTAATGTGGTTTTAAAGAGTACTTCATGTTCAAAATTAGGGAAAAGTGCTCGTGCTTTTTATGGAAACGATTTAATGTTATGTTTTTAATGGGAACCTACCTTAAGTCAGCCAATACTGAGTGGGTTTGTAAATGGGGAGTCATCTCTCCTCTGAAAGCTGACTGCATTTGTGTAGGGGTGTGGTAGAAACACACACAAATTTTAACTATTAGTATAAAAAAATGGTAATGTAATTAATGATCCAATACTGTGCTATCTGCTGCTTTGAGACTTCTTTAACCTTTTTTGATGCTTGTCAGTTGGTAGTGTGAGGTTACTAAAGACTGAAACTATGATGTATGTATGACTTTTTTTGCATTCAGCATTTTTGGTTCACTTCAGTTGTGTAAAGGTAGCTATTTTCCTTTAACACATTTTCCACTGGGATGGACTCTTGGTTGTGACCCTATTCAGGATTCAGGCTGGATAGAAGGAATAAAAGGTTATTAATAATGATGTTTGAGACCTATTTTAAGGTCACATTTTTCAGATAATCACTGAACCAGTAACCTAATACTGGGGAAAGAGCAATATTTTGATCAAATTGCCTAGTTGTGATTTAGCTAATGTTGCTGGAAGTGCTGGGAGAAGTTTGTGCCATGTCTTTGGACCATTTTTGTTTCTGGCTTGTGAATTGCTAGGTCCATTGCTAATGGAGAAATTCAGTATCTGTGTTAAAGATACCAGGAAGTCTTCTGTTCTTTAGGAAGCTTTGGTGCAACCCTTGGACAAGAAGCAGTCATTTGAAATTGACAATCCAGACTATTGTCTGGTTTCATATTTTCTGTTATTGGTTATGATTGTTATGGAAGTGGTGATGAAACTCTTAACAGTATTTTCAATAGGATCTCTAAAATCCCTCAGAGTTTGAGTTCAGACCTTTGGCTTAAGTATGGCACCAAAATCTTTTGGTTGTTGGACTTCTCTTACCAGTGCATAAGTGTGTTGTAATTATGTTGGTGTTTTTAGATTTGTCATTTTGCACAATGCTGTTAAATAGGAAGTATTTCTGCTGTGTCAGTGGGCTTCAGTGTGGAAACAGAGGTATGTTTGCTCTTTTGGGGAGATTTCATAGGACATTATTGGGAGATTATTTTTCTGGGTCCAAAATTTACCAAGTAAAGCAGTGTCTTTCAGATGAGATATGTTGGACTGATAATTCCACCTATTGTTAAAGTTGCCCAACACTTCCTATCATTAGGGTCTGTTATTTTCAGTTCCTTATAATTTTACCAAACTCTTACCTATTTTGGCTGAATTTTACATGCCAGAAAAAAAAAGTCTAAAGTAAATATCTAATGCTTCAGCCATAGTTCTTAGCTATTTCTAAAATAGAAGCTGAGTGGCACAAGGTTCAGGTTAGCCTAACTGCCCCCAGGCTGAAATCAGCCCTTGAACCCTTTAAAAACCACTCCCTTAATGTGGTCCCAGCAACAGAGTCGTTCTCTGGGCCCAGTGAGAAGCAATACAGGCTTTGATGCCCTGGGTTCTTCTGCTCCACAGGGCTCAGCTGAAAGCATAAGCAATCCAAAATAAACATGTCTTAACTTCAGTCCCAGTAACACAGTCTTTCTCTGGGCCCTGCAACACAAGCTTTAAATCCCTGGGTTAACCTGCACCATAGAGCTCAGCAGAAAATGTAAAACAATCCAGAATGAACACCCACAGGCTTGGGTTAGATCTCTCCCTGGAACCTTTCTTCTTTCTTGGAGGAGTCCTCTCTCTCCACTAGACCATTACTGTCTCCAGGTCCTCCTTCCCTCACTTCCTCTTTTAGCCTCTTTACTTCTGGTCAGTCAGGCAACTTCCCCTTATTATTGGCTGATTGACTGACCCAGCTGAGGCCCCTTAGGGGGGTGGTTTGTTACCTGCTGGATAATTGATCCAGGCTGTTATAAGGAGGAATGCATTGTTTGTTTTTAATACATTTGTATTAATGTATCACATGCTTGTATATTTGAAACTGCAGCTGGAGTCTGTGGAACTCTTCTGTGAATGTCTGAAGTACAGTGTGATGCCAAATACTCTGTTGTTTCATGTCTCAAATTGGATACCCAGAATTAATGGAACCTTATTAGGGGTGGAACAATAGAGATTTTTTTGGGCCGATACCGATGGCCGATTTTTTAAATTGCTGTCCCTTCATGGAGTTGATTTAAAGGTAAATTAGTTAATACTTGTAATGCACTCAGATACCAGAGTGGTGAGTACTATACAGGAAAAACAATGAAGGAATTAATAGTTCTGCCTCTGGGTATTTAGAATCACAAAATTGTGATTAATAAGGACAAAATCTATGGTTCAAGTTCTGCAAGGCACTTCACATGCTTTTTCTCAAAAGCAAGGATCCAGGCCTATTCTCTAGACAAAGATCTTTTTCTAACCTGGAAAATATTGATGTTTGACAAATCCTGTGGTAAATTATTATATAAAATCATTAGAATAAGCTGCCTTTTTCATGAAACGTTTCTTGTTTATGTCTGAGATTACTAAGAAAATGCAAATTAGTTACCAGAATGCTCATCCATAAATTTTGACCATTTATAAAGTGTTTGGCTCCTACAACTGTTATCGGCTAGAAAATGACTGGAACCAGGTCAACCTCAAATCATTGTACACTTGTCAGTTGTACTGAGCTTATATGGGCCACCACATATCAGAGCAGATGATCTTCCCAGAAGCATCACAGTATCCGCAAACGAGCTCAGAATCAGACAAAATCCCCATAAAATATTTGCAACACTTCTAAAACAAACTCTGTGTTAACATGAAGTGACAACTGTACAGCCATTGGATGAATTTGTTCCCTTGTGCCTAAGGAAAGCAAAATATCTAGCTGGACAAGAAGACTCATATCTTCAGAAGAATGCAAAATGAACCAAAATATTTTCTACTGGTAATCTTCAAAAGGAAATATCAAGAGAGTGGTCTCTTTCCTTCTTCCATTAACAATAAGCTGGATCTCCTGAAAAAGAAGACAAGTAGGGTAGACACATTCGTCATTGAGTGGCAGGACCTTTATTAGGTTGGATGGTCATTTATACTACTCTGGCAGCTGTTCCATTTTTTTCATGGAAAGAAAATGTGAATAGACATGAAAATTAGGGGATCTGTGTGGATCTTCATTATCTCCTAAATTATTCTTTTTTCACTTTAAAGACCAGAAGGGAGATCTGTATTAATGGAATTGATGTAAAATTGGGGGTGTGGGGGGAACAACATCAATTTTTTTTCATCTGAGAAAGATGTCAGGGAAATTTCTAGAGGTGACAAACTCATATAAAAATGTGGCCACACTAACAACAGGAATTTAAAATCCATCCAAGTGTAAAATGTTAGAAAGACTGTCACACTTCAAGTCTAGAACTTGACCCACATTACAACGTGGTGGTAAAGCAGCCCTTAGAATTAAATACTGAAGCTTCAAGAAAAACAGAAAATAGAAAATTAACATAGGAATCACCATTTTTTGTAATGGCTGGGAAGAAGGGAAAGTAAGTCCTTATAATATCAAAAGCAGTTAAAATTATTCCCCGTGTGTGAAATAATTGTATTTCATACTGACAAAACGTAACCACATTACCTTCAAGACCATTAGAAATAAAGAAGTTTCTTGTCTCCTTACCTCCTTCTGGTCTCTTCCTTTGGTTTATGACTCTATCCCATTTCAGCTACACTCCTAATCTCATTGGCGGCTCACTGATCTTCTCACTCATTTTTCTTTTGAACTTCTCACTCCTTTGGTTTATTTCCCCTTGTAGTATAAGCATGCACGTGTCTCCCATACTAACTAAATCCATTTCCTACCTTCTTTGCCCAGTCCCATTTCCCTTTCATCTCTTAACCCCACAGCAGTGAAAGGATTGATTTGAAATAAGTTGTTTACAATGATAAAGTCTATTATGAAATACTATATTAAATACTGGAAAAACTGAAAGCAAGGGCCTCTCTACATATGCAGATAAAGGTGCAATGGGATCTAACGTGCGATCCACACAATTGTACTTCCATGACACACGGAGAGAACGCTGCCCCTGCTGTGAGCCTCCAAAGGTGTGAGGCTTGTAGCAGTAGCAGCATTCCCCCAGCATTCTCAGAAACTTCAAAAGGGGAGCAGTGTTTTTCCCATCAACATCGCTGCGAGCCCTGCAGTGACACTGGCTATGGGGTTCACAGCAGGAACAGGATTCCATCACGCTGCCCCCGCTGCAAACCTTGCACCTGATGGGCACATCCAGATGAGTGCGCACATGCCTGTTGTGGCATCTGAAAGCAGTTTGAGATGCCGCAAGAAGCATGCTGAGAAAGAAAAAATATTCCAGGTATCAAAAAAAGACCTGTGGGGAAAAAAAGTGGGGCAAGGCATAGTCCAGGACCGTGCCCTGAGGCAACCCGGAGGTAGGTCCTCTAGAGAGACGCTCTGGTATCCAGCCAGATTGTCTCTGTGGTGCTTCTGTTGCCCCAGCACGTGCCCTTAGTGTGCAGGGCAAATGGAAGTGGGGCAAGGCTGCAGCATGACCTGGCCCTGGGCGCTGTCCCAGGTAATCAAGGACTGGGAGATGGGGTGGCTGTGTGGTTTCTGGTGGGGTTTGTGGGTGGGAAGTGGTGGGGGCTATGTGGGGAGTGGTGGGGATGTGGGGTTTGTGGGCAGCTTTAAAGGGGTGCCACCACATGCCCCCACACCCACCCCCCGTGGCACACAGCTCCCAGTACTAGCAGCAGTAGCCAGCTGTGCTGTGCATGCTGCAGCGCTGCCTGCCCAGCGGTCTGTGCGGGGAGAATGGGCCCGGCCTGACCTGGCCTGGCACAGCCCACTAGTGTGAATTGTTTCCCACTGAC